ATTTAATTGTACTCAAACGTAGCGTCTATTGCCACTGGGTTAATACAGTTTATCACGAGGCGACCTCGTTTACGTCAGATTTGAATTTTAACGCGCACCTGTCGCGACGTAGATCGTCTATTCGTTGTCCTGATGTGCCTTAACTAAAACTTTAGCAAGAAACTTGTCATTTTTTATTTCTGATTCCACCATCGGAATTTCACATGGTTTAAAAGTGATTGCTGTAGCACAGTTTCAAATTATTATTATTACGAGTTATCGACGGAAATTATACTTAAGTAGACCGAGCGCGTGCAGGGGAGCAAGGGGTTAGTTATACAACAGTTTTTAGAAAATAAACCGAACATGTTACAGCTGTTACAACTTGCCCCGTCTTCAGGGCCGGTTGAATCGGTTATGAAGTGGTCCGTAAAATTTGAAAAAAAGTAAATTTTGATGCTTACTTTAGCTTTGATTTTATTATTTTCCGTACAAACAACCTTTGAACCTTTGAAAACTTCACATGCCGTGTAATAATTCAAACTAGCTTGTTGAGTTCTACGACTACGTTTTAAAACTTCGATTCTGTCATTGATAAATATTTCTCAACTTTATAAACTGTTTTTCTTGACTTTTTTTAATAAGCGTTTATTCTAGAACAAAAAAATTATGTAAAAACCCCAACGAACACGAAAAAATTTCTCAAGTAGGTTTTAATACGGTACGTCTTGACCCATGAAATTGTTACAAAAAATCAACCACAAAAATACACATTTACTAACCGCATTGTAAAGATCTTTAAACCCGTGCGATATATATGTCATATGGAAATTAAATAAAGCAAAAATAATTGATCATACTCCTATGGCAAAACTTGCGTTTTACTACCTATATATACTCCCTGTTCAGCTTGAGAGCACGTGGATCCGCCGGACTTTCCGCACAGCTTTATAGCAACGTGACGTGCCATTCTTGGATTACTAATAGAAATATAAATCCTCGCTACAGTGGTACCTTTATTTTAAAATACACCGGATATATACGTTTGCCCTCCCCTACGTCACGGCCGTAATATCATGTTTTATGTTAATTTTTTGTTTTTTTTATGAACTTTTATTCGACGTAGTTGTCGTTTCCACTCGTTGACTATAGGTATACATGTGTAATGAGGACATACTTTGTATACTTTTATGAATGTGTGCTTGCTCATCTAACCGTCCTTTTGGACAAGCTTTGCACGAACAAAAAATGAAAGTGTCCAATCACTCCTAACGGGTAGTACAAGGTAGCCTCTCGTAAGAATGTGAGTGATCACAGCAACTGCAATATCAATGCTGTACACTACACTTCATTTTGCCATATAAGGTACCTGGCTTACTTTTTCCAACGAAAAGCAGTTGCGAAATTTGGACTATGTATGCAACCGTCTGATGCTACAATCTATTATATTTTGACGTAAATCCACGCTGATACCATAAAAGTGCGAGAAATTCGCAGTTGCAACACCAACTGTTGTGTATGCTCCGCAACAAGTATCGTATACAATAATTGAAAATCAATCTTCACTGCAATATAAAATCGGAGCGTTCGTAGCCTTTTTTGTGCCATCGATTGTTGTACGCTCATATGCTGTACTTGTATCGATAGGGGATGATAAGCTTCCGATTCCGTGAGGGTTTCAGGAAGGTGTGACCAATCGAGGTCTGAAGACTTTGGTGATGGTGCAGGATAACGAAAGCTAAAGGATCGTCAATGTAGAATATTCGACGTTTACGTTGCTTATAGTCCTCTTGATTACATGATTTTATTTTATTTATTTATTTTTTTTTTCACTTGACTTACTTTAATAACTGTCAGCGAAATTGTAAATGCGAGCACGAAATCAACTACAGTATACGTAGGTATTATTCGGCTACATTCAATTATTCCCCCCAGACAAAGCTCAGCTGTTGATGGCTGTCTCTTTTTTTTTTACCTTCAATAAAAACGTTATGTTATTAAATTTTATTATTCAAGAGTGTAGCAATTCAAATTTTAGTGGTAATATTGAATTCAATGGCAAATTGGTACAACAATAAAAATTACAATGAACAAGGTTACGATAAACCAACCACAACGGCGTTCAATAACAAAGGGTGCACTTGACATTCAACCACCAAGCCGTTCTTAGCAAACGAAATACTTAACAAGGACGTACGATAAAATAAGAACTCAATACGCAGCTACTGCACAACGTCAGACGGAATTTCATACGGTTACGTAGACGTGTGTGTATATAGTAAATCGGTCATCAGTATACGACCATCGACATGTGTATTATTGTTATGACAGTTACACACACACGTTTGATGAAATTAACCAGACACCACAACGTCTGGCCAACGGATTTTAAAAGAAAGCATACCGCAAGTGAAGAGCAAATAAGGCCTTGGGGTCAACCGCTGGTTCTTGACGAGCGACCGTTACATTTATTTGTTCGTAGAATGGATCCACGAGCTCTGCCCTTCGTTTGGAAGCTCGGACGTAACAGGGCACTTTTCATTGTGTTTAACTCGCCAACGATTGTCGACAAATGACATTTGCAAAACAAAGTTATACATATTCCTGAGATCACATAGCTGTCCACGTTTGTTGTCGAAAAGAGTGGGTTCGTTGAAACAAAATATCTTTCAAGGCCTGTGTGGTGCAAGGAATGTCATACAATTTTTTTCAATGTTTTTTGTAAGTGATGAACCTACATTTAACGAGCAAAACAAATTATTACGAAACTTATCACAGGTATTGTAGATAAAAGCAATGGTATTTAATACAATCAGAATTTATAATTTTTGTTTAACTGAACAACAAAATTTATTTATTTTTGGCAAGTGACATAAACAACGGCACTGTCTGGGGAATATTTTTTAATTTTTAAGATGATTCATCAACATTTATTCGAGTTAATGGTGAGTTTAACACTGATTTAATTTACTGATTGGCACTTTTGAATGATCTGTAAACAATTTAGATGACATTTTTTACAACAGTGTCCTTTTTTTATCTACGTATTTTTTAATTAAGATAAAAAAAAAGTAAAATCGCTCAATTACTCGCGAGTATATGAAATTCAGCTTTAAATTGATTGTTCGCTTACTGACGGTATGATTGGCAATTTTTTTTTTTTTTTTTTTTTGCAATACTGTAGAGGTACAATTCGATTTTCGTACCTAGAGCCCAAAAGTCCGTAAGCCTATTGAATGTGTGACTTTGAGTGATTGACGGCTGGATCGTTGAAGTATCGATTACTTCGCTGCAGTTTCGTGAATACCAAATTGATACAAACGGAATAAAATACTCTCGTGCTATCAGATTGCCCTTTCGATACTTTTATCATTTATTTAGTAAATAAGTAAAGTAAAAAATAAATTAAATCGAATCGGCTTCGCCTCAGAGGGTCATCTCATGTGCGTGCTTCTTGACACCATGTTTTATTATTACCAGCTAAAACTAAAACTAGTGTGCGCTTTTTTAAAAATCTGTATTGTAATTTTTATTCTTTCAACGAAATATTAATGCAATTTTCATAGAAAGTCTCACGTATTTTATAAACTCTCTTTGCTTATATCATACTAATTTGATTTGTTAACATATAAATATTCAGATGGGTGGTTGTGGAAGGATAATTCGTCACTTCGTGGCAACCACCCCATTGGATAAAGGATTATGTGATTTACTTTATTTTATTTTGCTCATAGAATCCTGTGACTTAAAACCGATTCAAAGGAGATTATGGAAAAATCGGTGTTACACCATCTTATTGGGACAAGTATTTGAGATATGTTATGACTTTACCTATACTTCCTATTTCTTTACCCCTTTTATTTGATATAAATTTCATGGGATATGTGGAGATAAAGTTAGAATCAATCATACTGCATTGGTTCGAAAAAAAGTGGGTGCAAAATTTTATCATGTTCAGGAAGTAAACGAAAAATTGATCGCCAGATATATCCTTGACAAAATACGAGTAGACGAATAGACTGGAATCCAAGTTAAATAGAAGCTTGTGAAAGTAGAAGAAAATCGATGAAACGAGCAAAGTTTTAAATCAATGAAAATCAGTACGTATCATTTATAAATTGTACAAATAAATAAAAATATTGTGAACACACGTTCGCATCGCACACAGAAAATTATTATTTTTTTTTATTTTATTTTTTTAATTGTTGGCTTGATGAATGTGATGATTTCAACATTCCATTGCAGGGATACAACAAAGTGGTTGTAACGCATGCACCTATACATTAATTTTAATATGTTTACAAAAAAAGTTGGAGAACGTTTTAACAATACCATGAGCTCAAGTCTCGATGTCTGTTATATTTTCTACATTCATCTCCCGCTATGATAATAAATTACATCAACAAACACTCGCATCATTGCTTGAGATTAAAAAGAAAGGAACAACTGAGCTCTAGTTCAAAGAAAGAAACTTCGAACTTTGCCCCCGAAAAAAAAGTAATTAGCATCGTGGCTTAGAAAATAAGACACAGGTTCCCATTTCGGAGCCCAACTGCCAACTTATAAGCCTGATAACCCTCCGACCCGAATATCAATCGCCACCTTTACCAACTGGCCTTAAAACCCAAGCCCAAACGAAGACACGCGAGAACACCTTATTACCAAGTACTACAGTCGCCCCAATCGCGTATACCATATACGACGAAAAACAATACATTTGTCAAGCGACCAAATTCGTGGAACACAAAGGGCGTGAAAGCTCGCAAGCCGATACACAAACACATAAACCCACATGCCAGAGAAAAACGGAGCACCAGAATCCTTGATCCTTAGAAGCTACCCCCTCACCGGTGGTGGGTGTCGCTGCCACCGCGTAAGCCCAGACCACCAGATGGCGCTCCCAGAGTTGAGGCTCGCCGCGGAGCTTACAACCACTGCATACGCGCCGGCGCACTCGTAGGGGTTGTTGGAGGACGTTAGCGGGGGTAGCGAGCGAGTGGACGGCAGTCGGGCTACGTCGACGTAGGTGTGCGTGTGCGCGCGTCTTAACACACGTTACATATATATATATACATAAAATACACGATAGACAGAGGCACCAGGTTGGCGCACACGTCTCGCCTTTTTTTTCGAAACAAGTTGACAAACAGTACCCGGGGCACCTTTGGGCAGACCATGTCCACGACAACGGCGGCTGCGAGCGGCGAAGCCACCGGGCCCCAGCCGAGTGCCCCATCGGCAGCCGTCTTTGATTAGTAAAGTGCGTCTAGCTCAGCGAAGTGTTTAGCCACCACGACTTTTCTTCCCTTTTTTTTTTTCCTCCTTCTTCTTTCCATTTCATTGTTTCTCCCATCGATATCGTGCATGAGCCAGTGCGCGTCGACGTCAGTGCGATAAGTACCGAGTGAAAAGTACTGCTGGTGGCTTTGAGCGCGTCGGGCCACTGACACGGCTGTACTCGTAGGAGCTCGGTAAGTGAGCCCCATTCCTTGTACCCGTCAGTCCTCGGTTGAGGGAGGTGCCTCGCTCGCAAGCTCCAGGGCAATGAAGGGGGGGGGGGGTCGCGAAAAGCTCCGGGGAGGGAAAAAACACATAAACAAGGTAGAAGATGTTTCGTGCCCCGTTGCGCGGAAAGCAGGGCTGAAAATCGATGCTTCCCACGAATACCTATGTGTGTATTATATATAACAGGTACGAAAGCTGCGATTTTGCGCGCGTGTGAGTGTGACTTGTCGCGTCGAGTAGCGCCCTCCCTCTCGCACACAGACCAACTGCTTGGCGCTGCCGCCTCGGCGCTTATCGATCACCACTCGCTCGAGCTTTTCCACGAGCCATGTTGTGCTTGCCGCCCCCCCCCCTCGCGAGCTTTTTCCTCTCCGTCCCTCTTCGACAGCTGCACGCGCTGCTTCCCTTTTGACTCTTCGCAATCGCCTCGCTTTTTCTCTCGTCCTCTGCACTCCTTCTTCTTTCTGCATATCCAAGGGTAACTTGACGATGCTCGCATTCGTGTGTATCAAACGGTCAGGGGGTTCGAGTTTTTTTTTTTTTTTTTTTTCTCTTCGACCTGTACAGCCTTCCTCCGCGCTACTTTTAGCCTTTTGGCTGGTGTTCGCGGTCTGTGTTACGAAATGGGAAGCAGTAGAGACACAAAACGTCGATACGCCCTCATCTTCCTCTCGCCCTCTCGTGTACCACCAAGCCCCCTGGTTTTTGTCCGTGTTGATGATTCATTGTAAATAATATACTCATGCCGTAAGTTGCTTTGGTGGCTCGATGTTTTTCCCACTTTGTTGTTTTCCGTGTTTTTCGTATTGCAATTGTCCATGGGAGGGAGCTTTTCGTCCGTCCGAACCAGTTGCAACTGGTTACAAGCTCGTCGGAGACCTCTGCTGCAGTGAATACAGTACCAGAGCTATTTGTGTGTTTCAATAGAATTAATGATGGTGATGATGTTTTGATCGATCTCTCTGGTAAGCTTCGGAGTTGCTTCTAGTTGTCTATTTCATGCCACAATGGTCGTATAATCAAAATTACAGCTGTCGCACGCGTATACGTACCGTATGTTTTCGAAGAAGGGGCTGATGGTGAATGAAAAAATTAGTCTTTGAGAGTGGAATGCGGCCAACGCGTCTAAGACGTCGGCGACCCTCACCCTTTCTCCTCCTCTTTGGCTCGAGCTTAAATTTTCCCTCCCTCTTTCCAACCTTTTTTTTTTTTTTTTTTTTTTTCTACGAAACCAACAGTAGTGTCTGTTCGCCAGTTGAACAAAATTACATCCTTGACATGAAAATTTTGCCTGGTATGCTGCAATATCCACAAACGCGTGTTACCGTGGGCGGAGGTTCTTCGAATTTCTATTGAAGAATAAATAGAAGGAAGAAGCAGAAACGTCTTGTTTTCTCAAGGAGCTTTTTTCCTTCCTTCCACTCGGAGTTGGGGGTTGTTTTCCATCATCTTCGGAAAAATAATAAAATCGATTCAAGTTTATCCTGTTGCGATCGGAGATGTGTTTTTTTTTTCCCTTCATTATCGAACGATCGATGGTTGCCTTAGAAAGCTTTTTTCTACCCTTTAGTGTTTACTCGGCCGTAATGGACACGTATTATTTCACGAAACGGTGACCTTGCGTCTTTTGACGCGCACTATCTACTGCATGGAAAAAGTGGACGACTCGATGACGATTGTCCACGTGGATTCTGGCTTGTCGAAAAGGACAGTGCCGCACCCCTCGCGTTTCCCGACACGTTCCATGGAAAATCTCTACCTTCCCGTACATACAACCCAATTGAAATGGATACATTTTAATCCACGGGTGCGCGCTCACATCGGGTCAAGGCAACGAGGGTTGTTCATGGATGGGTACAAGTTTCGTTTGGTCGCTCGTAGAAAAGATCGCGAAAAACCCCCATCCACGTGAACTCGGGGATGGAAAAAGACACAGCCTCCCATCTCCAACGTATACCAACGATGGAATTTTCATTTCGCCCCCAACAGGGGGAACTCCAGACGATGGAATTGCGATGCCTTGCCGATATTGTCCCGTACTTCTATGCACATAAACAAAAGTACCAGGGATGGATGCGCACCGGATCATGGAAAAATGAATAGAAGACGAATATGCACACATACACATAGGGATGTGTTATTCCAGCTGTGGTGTATGTGTTGGCGGTGAAATGGCCTTTTGCGTCGAGGCTGGCGCGTCGTCTCTCCCCCGACGCCCACTCGCTCGGCTGACTCATACCCTACCCTCCTCCCCGGCAGTAAGGTCCGTCTACTCGTCGTGGTGTGGACGGTTTTTTTTTTTTTTTTTATTTCACCTTCCTCTTCCCTCCCTTCGACGGTGGGTCTAAATTTGTCGCTCATTTTGGCGACTCGAATAAGAAATTACCCACTTGTCCTGTGCATCGCACCGGTTTGGTTTTCTTTGGGCTTGCCAATCATGAAAAATGTACAAAGAGTTGGTGTATGAATTTTGCACGTTTTTCGGTGGGCAGTTAAAGCTTTTCTTTTTACGGAAAGCTTATCTAATTTGCGATGATGATCGTTACAGTCGCTGAAGTAATGAACAAAAAAAAAGTTCATTTTGCCATGTTTATCGTATAAAGGTGCATCGATCGATAATTTACGATTACTTTCATCATGAAACTTCTATTTTACTGGACAAACAAAAGAAAATCGATGCACATCTGCATATGCTACATGTATATTTCCATCGTGATATTTATTACATTACCGTAGGATACAATTATTGTATGTGGACACATGCTTACTGATGGCGCAGAATATGGTTTATCAACTCTTATCGATTACCCCAGCTTTGCATATTATGCTCAAACAGTGAAATTATGTAAAAAAACGGAAATTCCGTGTGGTAAATCTTTGCTTTTTTCCCAAGTCTGGCGAATAAATCTGGAAACTCAACTTGATATTGCAAAATCTTTATACTATTACCACTTAACTCGCTGTAGTAAATGTCATTGATATCAGAACACTTTCCTAAATACTATACTTACCCTTAAGTACAATCATAACATGTTAATAGTGAAGCAGTATAATTATGAAGATTAATATTTAAACAATCATCCTGAATGATGTGTCATATTAATGAAACTTTTTGTTTGGAACCATAAATCGCAAAATATTTACAAAATGTCAATTTTTTCAACACGAAAAAGGAATATTTTATCTTTGATAGTTATAACTTACAGAAATTTATTGATGAATTCATTTTTATCTAAACTAATCATTAGGAATGGTCAATTGTTCTAAATGTGTAAAAAAGTGATAATTCAGAAAAATTATAATAATTGATTAGTTATTTAATTTTTTTCTCAGTTTGTCCCATGCAATTTACGCATAATGTTTTAATATTTTACACATTTACTGTGGTTTTTTGCTTAGCAATCACTGCTGAGATAAACATTTTTCAGTGCTGAAAATTTAATGTTATAAAACTGTGTCAAATTTTTTTCCACATGACTTTGATATTCTTGTAATTTTACAAATTAATAAAAAATTTTTTAACAAAGTACTTGGGATTTAAAATATCTAATTCCATAGACAGTTGTTAACTTATAAGTTTTTTTTTTTTTTTAAGGTACCATGAAGTTTACATATTCTAATAAAAATCTGTGTACTTTACGATTTTATAAGGCTATAGCAGATACACGTACAATTGTTTTACAAAAATTCAACGCATCGTAGACAGCACCTCTGTGGTTGTGTGACAATCTATAATAAATTAATACAAGAAAAAAAAGGAAGCCAACTCAAAAAAAACATGTTAAATGAAAATTAATAGTTATTTATTCTAATTTATAGTACTGAAATAACTGATTTCAATTTTATTATTTTTTATTTTTTTTTCCATTTATTATAAACAGCAAATGGGAAATTGTGAAAAAAATAGAAAGCTGCATAGTATAAAAAAAAAAAAATTAATAATAATTTTGCACTTACGGGGCATAAAACCGATTAGCATATTTATTTAGCATTAGAAATGCTTTGAAAAATTCAACTAAAAAATAACTAAGACAAAAGAACAATTATAACGTCGCATTCACATGCACTTAAATAAAGAATCACGAGATACAAATTTTTTTTAAATATTTGATACTCCTCAAACCCGAGCCCGAGCAGGAAGTCAAGTGAGGATATGATCTGGGATCGACCAGACTTTGTCTTCTACCATAATCAGTCCCTAGTCGGCCTTGTAACGCTATATTTGATGGACCCCTGAGCAATAAACCTTATTTCATCCTTACTCTGCATATGCCTTGCAACCTGACAAAGTACGAAGAGTACATCGATGTAGGTTAATTTGAAGAATTTATTACTCTAGTACTTGATGTTGATAGTTATCCGTATGAAAAGGATTTAAATTAAATTAAAACAATCAATTTAGATGGTGATTTTATTATTTTACACAATTAAATGCACAAAATGGATCTAATCAATAGACACAAAATAAACTGACTTTCTCATACTTTTTACATTATATTTTGTTACCGGTTCATAGAATGTTATTATTATCTGCAACAATACAATAACATTTGCAATTACAACAATAAAACTTGAATCAAAAACAAAACTGTACAGTCGTTGAAGAAAGAAGTGAGAGTAATAGCTATGTGAATCGGTATGCAGATAAATTTATATCAACAGATGCATTCCTTATACATTCTTCGTTTGATTTAAATTACATATTGATGAAACAAAACTTTATATTCAAAAGTAGCAATATTTGATTACGTTATGGAGTAAAAATTAGTGACGCAAATTTTAAGATTTAAAAACTAATTGAATATTAAATAAGTGATACCAATTTCTAATAAATGGACACGCAGGTAGAAGTTGAAATTGCTTGCTCTTCAGACAGTACCATTTTACGAAGAGTATCATACTCTATTATGTCTTTGCTTGAGATTCCTTCGGTTTTTTCTTTCAACATCGGCAAAATTTCATCATC